CCGCCGCAAGATCCGTCAGGCATCTCGGATCCGCTTCCATCCGATCCTACAGAAACTCGTGTGGTTCCTCCCCGCGACAGCCAAAATGGTGAAGCTGATCGAGAGCAAGGTACGCGTGCCCGGACGACGCGCGCACCCCGCCGTGTGCTGTGTTGGTCGCCTTCTGTATCCCCGTGGTGAGCGGCCCGGGGCCTGTGCGCGCCCTGGGCTTGTAGAGCACGCCTGGGGGAGGGGACGGGGAGACCCTGGAACGCCGGGTACCGGAGGTGCACCGCTGGCGGCACCTGGGTTCCCCGATCTGGGTTCCTGCAGCCTCCAGCCTTCTCCTTACCGCCAGCTCTAATCTGGCGGAGGTGAAACGATGGAGGGGGTCCTTGGGTGAACCCCCGTCTGAACCAGGATTCGGAGTCTCAGGGAAGAAATGAGAGCCGCCACTCCTCGCGTGTACACTGTCATACACAACGCGGGGTGTCCTGTGCCTCAGGGCTAGGCCGGAGTTTGCCTCCATCAGTGGTCCACTGCCTAGAGAACCAGTGCCCGGTCGGTGCACGGGGGCCGGTACCTATTGGAGACCCTCGGGCAGGTGCTCCAGGTAACTACTAGGAAGGAGAAAGGTCCAGGCCCCGCCTGTGGGACTCCTCCTCCTCCTGCAGCTCAGGGCGTGTTTCCGGCAGCGCTAGCTTTGGAATGACTCAGTCCCCAATGTCTGGGCCCAGGGGCCTCACTACGCTAAGATTTCAGTGATTCACCCGCTGTAAGTGGGCTTTGCTGGAACCAGGGCTCTGTTCCTCCCAGGGAGTAGTCCACTACAAAGTCCAGGTTTTGCCATTTGGGAAAAGAAAAAAATACCTAAGGGAAAAACTGTTGCCATATTTGAAAGTTACTGAGAACCAAAATATCCTCCAGATTGGGAAAGTCAGAGCCTGTTACACTGTAACTACTCGGGGAATATTTGTAAAGTGGAAAGTGAAAGGGGCGGTGGTGGGAATTGATGTTTGGAAGACTCTCACAAGGTAACCTAGTTAACTTGTTAACCTAGCTAACTAGGGGAGCCCAAGGAAGGCAGACCCACGCCTCCAGTTATGAGCTGTTCGGGCCTGGTTGGGTGGGTCTCAGTACATGAGTTTGCTCAGAATCCACCCACTATCAGTCGTTTTCGACCCAGCACCCAGTTAGGTCCTTACCTGTTTAAACTGTCTTACTTATGGGACCTTTGCCATTCCAGTAGAAAAGGTGTGCATTGGGGACAGGAAACCAGTTATTCATAAAAACCTTGGGCCCCAAAGGCCTATTAACAAGGCTCTGATCAGAGTCGCCCCGAATCAGAGATTAATTGAATACACCTAGGGTTATACTGGTGGGCTTAAGTTGATTGGTTTAACCATGTGTTTCTGAGGACTGTATGGACTGTACGGTTAGTTAAGGGTCCCTGATTCCAGACAGGAGTGGGATGATGGGCTAAAAAATCAACAGTTGGTTTGCTTTGTTTATTTTTAAGACTAAAACTATTTATTGAACTACACACAAGGCATGCTGCTCAGTGCTTTACAGACTATGTTAGACCAGGGTGTTGGCTCATGGCTCTCAGCACTCAGGAGGCTGAGGCAGGAGGATCACCACCTTCCTGTCCTGGGCTACAGAGTGAAACCGGTCTCAAAAAGCAAAGAACACTTTGTATTGCTACCTTTGGGCTGGTTTTGTGTTTGGGGCCTTTTGTTTTGCTTTCTTTTCCGTTTACGTATAGGGGTGGGGCATTCACTTGTGGTGGTCAGAGGACAGCTTGGGAGGGTTGGTTCACTTCTGTCTTGGGGATCCTGGGTATTGAACTCAGTTCTCCTTTTTGTGGCAAGCACCTTAATCTGCTGAGTCACATTGCCAGCCCCTGAGCTAGGAATATTTGAGAAGAGGGATCAAAGCAACTGCTTCTAACTACTCCAACTGTTTTCTTCAGATCATCGGTGTCAGTGATGGAACCATTTCCTAATTGTGATGGATTATTAGTTTCTGAAGCTAAAATTTGTGATTTGCTTCTTAGACAATTTTGAATACTCTTCAAGCCAGTTCAGGCAAGTTTACACATCTGGAGAAGAGATCTTATTTGTGAAGTTTACACATCTCTGTAACTCATATTCACTGAAGCCAGAAATTAGGGTTGCAAGCCTCTTTTTTTCAGAGTTTTAAGTAGTTTTACTTGAATTTCATTCATAGCCATTGGGTAGCAGGGGAACCTTGAGAGTGTTTGAAATGAAGTTCATCCTGTTTTTTATGTAGTGTCATCAAATTTTTATTGAGGATCAGTCATGTTCCATTTGTGGGTGTTGTCAGACCAGCCTGCCATGCCGTCTTTGCCCTGTGTCCTGCAGTAAAGAATGGGTGGTGTGGCCTTTTTAGTAATCATGTAAGGGAAGGTTTTGTATGGAATTTGTCTGCAACAACCAGCGGTGGTTTGGAAAGGTGGTTTCCTTTACTCTGCACTATAGTCCCACCTCCTGACCCTAACACTTAGCTGTGTTCACACCCAGATATGGGCTGATAGACCTGTATAACTAGGGCAGTGTTTAGAAGTTGTCATAGCCATTCTGTACTATTCTCAGAAATGATATGTGGTTGATTATTTTCCTTGAAAAATATGAGGTAGAAATTAAAAGCCAGAAAAGTAAGTGCTCAGGACTGAAGAGAAGAGAAAACTCAGAGAATAAGAGCACTCACTGGCAGTCTTTCAGAAAACAGGTGTTCGATTCCCAGCACCCACGTGGTGGTTTGTAATCATCTGTGACTCTGGTTCTAGTATATCTTCTGGCATCTGAAGGCACCAGGCACACAAGTGATGTACATAGATACATGCAGACAAAAACATTGATACACATAAAATAAAAATTTTAAAACATTTAAAGTAGCTATACTCTGAAAACTCATTAGGTTTGTTTTGGGTGTGTGTGTTTTAACTGTACAGTGTTGAAATATTTACTTTCCTTTGTTGGGCCAGATCTAATATGGTTCTTAATTTGTATTTATTTATTTTGAGTATTTTGAGGCAGGGTTTCTGGGTGTAGCCTTAGCTGTCCTGGAACTCTGTAGACTAGCCTGGCCTCTGCCTCCTTAGTGCTGGGTTTAAAGGCATATGCCACCACTGCCAGGCTGTCCTAGTTTTTATAATTAATTTGACCAACATTATCTCTCCTGGAGGAAATGTTACTTCAGATATAGCTGTTTGTGGTTATTTTTATTCATCTTTGTTGCTCCAGTATTGGTTTTAGGCAGCACCAAGTGACTGATGGCAGTTTAAATGAGTCCCTAGTAACTAGAATGTTAGGTTCCTAGGGTTACAGTATCAAGGCTTTTGGTAAATAATTCAGGGAGGTTGGTGGTGAGGGATTTTTTGTTACTGTTGTTAATTATTTTTCTGGGACTTGCATGTGACAGGTGTTACTTAAGCAAAACAGCCAAAGAAAAATTTCTTCTTGAGGAACTAAAACTTGGATTCATCTAAAGAACAGTGCATTTTGATTCATAGGGCAAAAGTCAAAAGAAGCAGTGTGATTCCCAACTCTAGAAGTGCTGTTTAAAATAAGCACACAGGAGGAGCTAGAGAGCTACCGTAGCTGCTAAGAGTTCTTCCTGCTCTCCCAGAAGACCCTTGTTCAGTACCCACTACCCATGGCTCCAGCTCTGGGGATTTCAGACCTCTGTGTGCCGACACACACACACACACACACACACACACACACACACACACACACACACTCACACTCACTCACACTCTAAAGCCAAGCACACAAAATCTGTTTATGCAATGATGGCCTGAGTAGGAAGGTCGGTCTCCTGGACTCTGGAAGGGTTGGGGATCTTTCCCGTGTTTCACCCTAGACAATTTCTTTTATTTCCCCATTGGTTAGCTATCTTGTGACTTGTTTGTTGCTTAACTGTGTCTTGAGTGTTCTTCAATCCTGGAACCCCAAGAATCCAGTGTCTTACTATGGAACAAACTTTGATGTGAAAACAGTTTTAGTACAGATGCCTGCTTTCCTTTTTGTTTGTTTATTTAGTGTTAATATAAAGTGATTTCGTGTTGGGGGGTGTAACTCAGGGGCATTTGCCTAGCATGTGCAAGGCCCTAGGTCTGCAGCACCATCACTATGCCCAGATTTTATAAGTTCATCTTGTCGAGTATAACAGTATCAGCAGTGTGCAAAGGTTCCTCTCAAGCCACTTTATTTGGCTGCTTTGGATAAAAAGTAGGCCCTAAGGGTCTGGAGAGATGGCTCAGAGGTTAAGAGCACTGGCTGCTCTTCCAGAGGTCCTGAGTTCAATTCCCAGCAACCACATGGTGGCTCACAAACCATTCATAACTTGATCTGGCGCCCTCTTTTGGTATGTAGGCAGACCACTGTATACATAATAAATAAATCTTTAAAAAAGAAAAAAGTAGTCCCTAAGAGCAGAAACGCTTTGTGTTATGTGTTTGCTTAGGTCTTTGGGGAGGGAGAGGGAGGGTCTCACTGGCTGACCTGAAACTTGCCAGTGTAGAACAGGTTGGCTCTGCCTACTTCTGCCTCCTGAGTGAGTACTGGGTTTAAAGGCATGTGTCACACCTGGCCATGTCTTAATGGAAAGTGAAAGTATATGACACAGGTGTTCTTTCTCCATCCTCAGGAAGCTTTTCAGGAGGCCCTGGCGGCTGCGGGAGACAAACTTGTAGTTGTGGACTTCTCAGCCACATGGTGTGGACCATGCAAAATGATCAAGCCCTTCTTTCATGTGAGTATAGGAGCCCTGGGCTTGGAGGCTGGCTAGTGCTCAGAAGCTGGGGTAAAAGGGTTAATAGTGAATGGGGGTAAGGGCTGTGCTTGTTTTCCTGATACTTACCTAGTCGCTAAGCGGAGTCTTTAGGCCTGGCTGGTGAGATTGCTCTGTGGAAGAAGGCACAGATAGCTTGCTGTGCGAGCCTGGCCTGAGTTGGGTTCTTGAAACCCATGCTGGAAAGAGATAACTGCTCTCAAAAGTTGTCCTATGACTTCCATGTGCATGTTATGGCACATGTAAAGTAATAATATAGTAAATAAAAAGGACTTTTAAAATAAATACAAACTTAAATATTTAGTATAGAGAACTGGAGAGATGCCTCCGTGGTGAAGAGCACTGGCTGCTTTTCCAGGTGACCTAGGTTTGGTTCCCAGGACCCTCTTCTGGCCTCTGCAGGCACCAGGCAGGTATACATAAAATAAAAGTAAATAAATCTTTAATCTCTGTGACATTTCCCTTGAAGAAACTTAACTATGTTGACTGTCATTGTCCAGTTCTAACACTTTTGGTTCGTTTTTAATTTTCCAGTCCCTCTGTGAAAAATATTCCAGTGTCGTGTTCCTTGAAGTAGATGTGGATGACTGCCAGGTACGTAGTGAGAAATTGGATGCTGCCAAGCTTTTCAGAGTAGTCTGTCCTCTGAAGACTACCCTGTTCTTTAAAAATGCGAAGTAATGCTAGAAGTAGAACTCTGTCTGAGACATTGTATTTTGGAAGAGCAGGGCATGTCCCAGCTGAGAGAGAGAGGGGGGGGAGGGAGAGAGAGAGAGACACTTCCTATAGTAAGCATCTAAACAGTAGCTCTCAGGTGATGGAGGCCTTTGTGGGGTGGAGCACCAGGGCTCCTGAGGGATGCATGAGTACTTTTACTTGCCCTGTGGTTCAGGAAGAGGTGGAGAATGAGGTGACAGCAAACGCATTGGGCTGGACTCCAGTACTGCCTTGCTGGCTTCTGTTTTACGCTAATCTCCCACCTTTCTCAACTCTTTTGTTCTCTGTCAATAATCAGCACTCTGTACCCAGCCGACAGCCAGCGTGTTTTTTTACCCCACACACCTTTTGGTCTGTCTTTACTTGTGCTGTCTCCTCCCTGTGACTGTCCCTTCCTATCTGATGGAACCCTAGTCATAAGCCTCACAGCTCTTTTTCATGCTCCCATCTCCATTTGCCGCTCACACACCACGGTCTAGGTTTGTTTCCCCTCCTTGGGTCACATGATCATCTTTGCTTGCCCATCCTCCCCAGTGTCTGGTGGGTGGGTGGTAAGAAGGAATGGATCCTATGCTGGTGGCTGCTTGTCTGTATTAATAGTGGGGGCTTGCTCAAGTTATTTGTCTGTGCCTCCTCATCCTCTAAATGGCCCAACATCTCAAATAAGGTGGTTATCCAGATTGAGCAAGATCATAATTATGAAGCCTTTGGAGTGCCTGGCTCCCAAATGCTTGGTGAAATATGGCTGCCTTTACAGGCAGTGAGCATCTAGCATCCAAAGTGCTCTGAAATCCAAACTGTTTTGAGTGCTGGGATCATTTCTTTTGATGGACCAAATATTGCAAAATCTAAAAACCCTGAAACACACCTGGTCCCAAGCATTTTGACTCACGTATAATATCTGTCATTAGTCTTTGTAAATGAGTAACTTGCCTGTGGGAGCAAGACAATTCTTGTTTGTTTTCGTGAACCTTTGTGCTACACGCTCTCCCCCTTCCTATATGGTTACTCCAAGAGACATTTACCCTTGATTCAGATCAGTTGACCCCGCCAGATAACTACACAATTTCTTTTAAGTAATGGTACACTGAAGTCTAGTGGCTTTGGCATCTTGAACTGCCCCCAGTAACAGGGTGGGGAAGCAGGCCGCAGCATAGTTGGTGATGGAGGCTAGGAAGGGCCTGTAGAACTGAAGGCAGGTACTCCTGCCTCAGTCTCCACCCTCTATAAAGATAGGTAAAGCCACTGGGGACATGGTATGACGGCTCCATCGTGTCTGTCTAAATGTCTTTCAGACCGTGAAGTGACCCTGTGATAAGTGGGAACTTTCAACTTTGCTTCCTCACTCCAGAGACTGTATCATAGAAAACATAATAGAAAGTTCCTTAAGCCACCTGAGTAGGAGGAAATCCTGTAACCAATTCCAATGGACAGTTTGGCCCACACCCTTAATGTATAAGAAAATGATTTTATGGTCACAGAAAAATATACACATAGGCCCTTTTTAAAATGATGATAGTGCAGTGGCAGCCAAGGGGGTGTGATCCATATTTTGTAAATTAAACAAACAAAAAAAAACAAGACAAATCTATAAGCATTCAAGTACCATGTATTCAGCTTTTCTCAGAAAGCCAGGCGTGGACAGATAGGAATGGAGTGGGTAAGCATGGTGAGTGTTACTATGATTCTGTAGAGGACTGTCTTGAGGTTCAGTGTAGTCCTGTCCTACATACTCAAAACATCTGAGATCCGGCATTAAGGAGGGGAAACCGGTCACTGGTTACCAGGGCTTGGGGTGTAGGTAGTGACTAATTGCAACAAGGGCAGCTGGGAAATCGAGGGGCTGGTTTACACCCTGCTGGTGGTGGTCACATGACCCTGTCTTGGTCAAAGCTTGGAACTTTTGAACTCTACCAAAATGTGAGTTTTTCTGTAAGTAAGTTTTGGGTTATTTTTTTAAAAGCAGGAAGTCGGGATGTGACCCCAGGTTAGATGAGAGGACGATGAAAGAAACTCAAAGGGTGTGTGTGAGAAAGGCTCACACCTGCAGTCCCTAAGAGTCTGAAGGGACTACACAGTGAGATTTTTAAGGAGAAAAAATGTTCTGTGGGTCTTTCAGATCAAGAGTAGGCGTCACAGCCCATAGAGCACTACCTAGGAGAGCGAGCAAAGACCTAGAATGATGACAGGTTTACATCAGCTTCACTGAAGTGCATAGAACCATTAATATATGACAGTGCTGCTGTGTTCACTGGTACTGACTTGGCATAATTGAAACGTCAGACTCTAAATTTAAATTTAACCCAGTCTGAAGCTCTGGTGTATTTGGGGAATTGATGGTAATGCTCTGAAATAATACAGACAGGAAAATCTTGGACAGTGATTTTATTTAAAAAGAAAGGGGAGGGGAGGGGGAGCATTAGTAAAGTTGTGTGTGAATATATCATAGCTATACTAATTAAAAGATTGTTTTAAACCAACACCGTTTGACCACATGTTAATAATTAACTGTTTAGAGTTAAACTGTTGCTAGTCTATCTTGTTCTCTATTGCTGTGTAAATCTAGAAGATAAAATGTGTAGGAAATACTGGACATGCAGGAATGTCTGGCACTGTAAAATAGCTTTCTCTTTCACTGCAGAGCTGAGTTGAGGCCTTAGTAGATTCTGGTATATAAAGTCTGTCCCAAGTGGGCAGGGCTGGTGGGTTTGCTGGCATAAAAGTCAAGAGACTGAAGTATAGTGAAGAGTTTTGCCTCTAGGGTTGATGAGTGGGAGAAGCAAATGAAAGCAGTGTGCAGGAACATCCAGGAGGGTTGAAATTGAATTAAGAAAAACCATCATTTCCATATCAGATTGAATTGCTTGGGGCTGGAGAGATGGCTCTGTGGATGAGAGCACTGGCAAAATTGTGTCACTAGCACCCACACCAGGTAACCCACTGAAACTCTAGTTCTAGGGAGTCTGACACCCTCTGTAGGTATTTATACACTGCCTTAGTTTGGATTTCTTTATCTGTGATGAAACACTGACCAAAAGTAACTTAAAGAGGAAGAGGTCTATTTTGCTTACACTTCCAGGTCACACAGTCCATCACAGAAGCGAGTTAGGGCAGGAAGCTGGCGCTGACACAAGGGCCATGGAGGAGAGTTGCTTCCTGGCTTACACAGCCTGCTTTCTTGCAGCATAGATCTTTAACAATGTATTGTTATTCATACAGTGGCTACTGTGGGAGAATAGAAAGTGGGGTGCATGAGTGTGTTTCATATGGGAAAGTCGGTGTCTGTGGATATACATACGTGTGTGTGTGTGTGTGTGTGTGTGTGTGTGTGTGTGTGTGTGTGTGTGTTACAGTGCCTACAGCATGCATTTTGAAAAGAAGTGTGTACATGTAAGTGCATGAGTGATAAAGTTAGTAAATAATGGGTAGCTTCCAATTTTTTCTTAATGAGGCAAACTAGAATTTTCTGGAACCCAGCAATTCCATTTTATATCTTAAAACCCCAGGATATATGTATTTATTCACAAGTATACATACATAAGTTGGAAATGATCTAAAAGTCTGTTAAGAGGAGTTAAAATGTGAAATAAAATACCATGCCACCTTTAAAAAGTCATTTTAACACAGAGCAAAATAAGAAAGTTCTTGGTTTTATTTTTTTTCTTAGATACATTTATGTATAAGCATTTTTGCTTAAATGCATGCATGTACACTCACATAAGTGCTTGGCTCCTGTGGAGGGCAGAAGAGGGCATTGGATTCCTGGAACTGGAGTTACAGATGGTTGTGAACCACCATGTGGGTGCTGAGAATCAAACCCAGGTCCTCTGAAAGAGCAGCCAATACTCTTAACTGCTGAGCCTCATCTCCAGACCCCATGAAAGTCTTAGTGCCTTAACCAAAACTTTACATGAAGACATAGTTGTGGTTTTAAAAATAAAATGTATATGAACACAGACCCTTAGGACTCTCATTAAGACACTCCTTTCCAGTGTTTGATTTATTTGTTTGTTTGGGGTTGGTTGGTTGGTTGGTTTGATTGATGGAAACAGGCAGGGTCTTACAGCCCTGACTGGTCTTGAGGTGGCTGTGTAGCTGAGGATGGCCTTGAACTTCTTGTGCCCCTGGCTGCACTTCCTAAGTGCTAAATTTCAGGTGTGTGTTGTGTACCATCATGCTTGGCTAATGGTAACTAGGGTTGTAATTCAGTGTCTGGTCCTTAGCCTAGCATCTGTGTGCACACCAGTAATCCTAGCACTCAGGAAGCTGAGGCAGGGGGATCTTGAATTCAGGCCAGTCTTGACAATGTGGCAGGATCCTACCCAGAAGGTTAGGAGTATTACCTAACATGTACAAAGCCCTAGCTTCCGAGCCCAGAGACAATATATAATAGTTATCCAGCCATCATCTATATATTCCCCACTTCCTTAGTATAATTGGAAAAACTTAGCAAATACCAGGACCTGCTAATTCTGAGGAGCAGAAGAATATGTCATTTCCCCTTGGTACTAAAATGTTTGAGAATTAACTGAAGAAACAGCATAGTGAATGGCTGCTGCGCTGGCTGATCCTAGTAGCAATCTTTTTGTTAGTGCCTGTAGTTTTTGATTGAGAATACAACCTATTTGGCTTTTTTGTTGCCATTGTATTGTTTGTTGTATTGATGCTCATATGGTTAAAAGGCTATGAGGCTGAGGCTTGGGGTATATAATGGAAAAGAAGTCTAGTCTTTGGAATTTTCCATCTAAGTTTAATGTTCAAATTCTTG